TCACACGTATTAGATATTTTTTATGTGCTTTCTAATTAGTTAATTGCATTCTAGACATTATTTGAAGCATTATGAACTATGAAGGGTAAAAAAATTACAGAATTTTAGGGATGAAAAGAGGGGGGGCAAAAGGGTTAAGGTTTTCAATTTGTCATGTTGCAGAGCTAAAAGTGTGTAACTTGCAAGAAAACTAATTAAATATTTGAAATCAGCATAAAAAGTTCCATAAACAGCTCCAGTTTCATTCCTCTGGGGTGAATATTAAAAAAAAAGTGTCTTCGAGTAGCATCTCCCCTTAAATGCAAAGAATTTCTTAGTAGCAAGGCTTTCGCGGCAGCGCTGTTCACACCCCCACTGCACATGCTTACGTCTCGTGCGGGCCCAGGAAGACACCCGCAAAACTGTCCTTCCTCTCTCTCTCTCTTGCCTCGCAAGGCTGATGCAGGTCAGCGTCTGCTAGTAAAAAACCGACTGCTCGCGCTGTACAACCGTTCACTGGCCCTGAATCGCGCGTTCAGAATTCAGTCAATGGCGTCTTTACTAGGCTTTCGCTTGAAATTGAAGGCAACGCTTCTCCTTCATTCAATAAACAAGAACAATAAAGACGAAATAACAACTTAGCATTCCCAAACCATACCCTATTACGCAACATTCATGCGGTAGCCCAACCACTCTGCGATGCACTTACTTGAGTTCCCCCCATGGGAACATGCAGGCGGCTGTTTTTGTTTCCTTTTTCCTCGTTTCAGTTATTGTAAGAGGTCGTCGAATTGCAACCGTGCAAATTTGGTAGAAAACTACTGATCATGACTGAGTTCGGGGTGTGCCTATTATGCGCGAAAATAAAAAAAAATCTGATTTCTCGCTACCAAACTGGCAGTGTGCCTATTATGTGAGTAAATACGGTATATCGTGAATTACTGCGACTGAGACATTCGTGACCCGCTGTCGTTGCTTCCATCTAATGTGGTTGCGAAAGCAAGGCACTGCCCTGCTCTTCCAAGCAAGCCATTGCCCTGCCTGATATTGCCCTGCCCTTCTGCAAACTGAACGTGGCTTTCATGCAAGCGATGCGCACCGAATGAATGAATGCAAAACTTTATTTCAAATATTTGTTTTTCTGGTGAAGGTGGAGATCTCAGTCCAGGGCCTTTGTGGCGTTTGACATCTTGCAAGCTCTGTCGATCAGCTTGAGCTGTTCTTCAGGCTTATAGCAGGAGAGCGCAGCCTCCCACTGATCCGGTGTTGGTGTGCAGTTTCTTGGCACTACCTGTGTGTGTTGGCAGGCCCATGTCACGTGGTGAAGTGTGGGGTGTTCTCTGAAGCGGGCATTTGTTGGGGTATATTCCCGAATGAATTTTACTCAGAAGACTGATGTTGGGGTATGTATTAGTCTGCAGCTGTCTGCAGGCAAACGACTGCTCTCTACTGAGGTCTTTGTGGGGAGGGGGGTATACCCTCCTCAGGGCTCTCTGGTGTTCTAAAATTGCTCCATAGCGTCTAGTAACTGTGGCTAGTTCCTCATCGTTGTGCACCTCCGGTCGGCATATGCTTGGGCAATGGCGTCGACACACTGATTCTCTGTCACAGTTTCATGGCTTGATGTTTATGTAATGGAGAAGCTCGAGAAGGTGAGCGAAATGTTTACATTACAGGCGCACATAGGAGAGAATTCGTACTTGTCCCCTTTCCGCGAAGTCACACAACACGGTAACTAAGCTGTGTACGAGTCCAGAAACACTTGCACGTATTTCTTTGCTTTTGACACCTCCATTGACCTTTCAATCGAACTCAGGGAAACAATCATCCCTCACAACCACAAACCAAACACAACTGATGTGGGCAAGTGGCGTAGGCCTAGCATGCAAAATGTGGGAGCCATAAGTTGCATAAGGAGCCATAAGAGACGCATAAGTTGTACATTTTCCCTCGCCTTGAATTTACTTAGCGATACTCAATGATATGGTGACAACTAGAAGTTTAATGCCGTGTGCTCTTCCTCCGCACCAAAACTATCTCAGCAGAAAACACTTATGTACATGCGTGATTAATAAAAAAAAAGAAAAATGCCATGGCGGCCATATTTCGGGAGATTTGAGATAGCATTTATAAAACCGGGAGATCAGGCCAGAGTTCGGGAGTCAACTGGGCAATTTGGTATGCTTTAGTAATAAAGTTTTACTGCACTTGATACAGTAAATGCTGTTTGTTATAACCAGGAATAAATGCTGAACAGACAAGAACTGGACGCTGGTGCAAATTTCCTAAAAGTAGGCTTGTGGGAATAGTAAATTCTAGGTTCGAAGCAAATTTGAAGTGCATAGTGATTTGACTTGAATAATTTCAAATTGAAAAATGAGCATATTTGTGATGATACAACTAACCTGCACAATTTATTTATATAATTTTTTAATGGCATTACTTTTGGTTCAAAGGAAGTAGAAGCAACTTTGAATAGTAGCAGGATTTGACTTTCGGTGGAATGCAAGTGATTTGTAACATAATGTGATGTTTTAAAATTTACTATACTTAGAGCATATAAGGAATATAACAACCTTTTAAACTTAAAAAAGTAAGAATAAATGCGAGAGTAATATGTTCACTAACCCTGAAGTGGGGCTTTGTGGCAGTGCAGATTTGCCTTGTAAAGGTGTACTTATGGTATCACACCTTTCCACTGAAGTGAAATCACCTATAAAGGGAGATTACATGCAGACTAATATACACCTATTTGTACATTTCTAATACTTTGAAATTTCCAATAATTAATATTCGAATCAAAGTGAATTCAAACATGTTATTATTCATTCAAACATTCGCACAAGCCTACTTAAGGGGGGACACGGGTCTTAAAAGGCCAAAAATCGCAAAAAAATCGACTGTTTGAAGCTGACATTTTCGAAATCTGCGCCTATTTTTGCACTTATCTGAGAAGTTTCTAGCTTCTCGCATCATTATTTCTGGTGCAAAATCAATTTATAGCATCCCTGCGAGATGAATGTGAGCGCAATTAACGCTAAAATCGCGCTTTTTCCGTGCCAAACTGTTGCCGTTACACTCGAGCTATCGTGTTCATCTTGATCTCGTTCGGAAGAGTCGTTCTTCATCTTCAATTTCCTGCCACCGCTGGCTCACCTTGCTCATTGGTTTTTTAGCATAGACGCGTCATCGAGAAGCACTAGCGCGCGATTCAATTGGCTGCTTGGGGCATGTTACCAACTTTAGGCAATCGATTGGCCAAGGGGCGCTTTTGGCATCTGCTTCACCATCGTGACACGCACGGACATGCACCATTTTGTCATGGTGCTGCTGACTGCTTGCGGCAGTAAAGAAGTTCCGTGCTACAGTAATTTGTGAAGCGGGTGTGGTGGTGGTTCGTTCGCTGTGAACTTCAGAAAGATCCCCGCTATGACCCAGGACAACGAGGATAACGAACTCGACGCGGTCAATGGCGGTCGCCGAGTCACCGATATAGGCCTAACTCACGTACGAGCCCATTGGTTGCCGACAACGTTACTGAGAACGGCTGTGTTTTGCAGCCTCATCAGTTAGAGTACGGCAAATAAAAATCAAAAGTGAAGCCACCAGAGATATCAATCTTTGTAGTGACGGAACAGAAGTGCAGTCTTATCGCTAAACCCGCCGATGATGTGGTTCCCCCCGCCTGATGAAAGGACCTTGAACTGCGCGACGGGTCGTCAGAGTGGAGTACGCCGCGCGTCGACCAACAACAGAAAGTCAATCCGTTCACAGTGAACATGCTCGCGGCCCTCGCAATGGACGCGACTGGCAACAGGTAGACTGTTTTTAACAACGTGTTCGCAACGTTGTTGCGATCTCCGCTCGAAAATGCGGCAGTCTTACGTGAAAAGGAAACTAACACCTCGGCACTCGTGTAGCCTCGAAATTGATGAGCGAGAGAGCAACTTTGGTTCGCGATACTTACAGGTAACTTATTCTGGAGAAGCCGCAAAACATCGCCGCATTATTCGACGGATCGTGGATGACGCACGCACATTTGTCGCACATTGCCGTCAGTACAGTCACCGAACTGATAAGTGGCCTCGCGGCAGACGAGCACACGGCGACAACTTGCTACAGGACTAGAAGAAACGACGCGCTCGTACAAACGATCAGTTTTAACTGAAAAAAAGAAAGCTTTAACTGTAGTATTGTTATTCATATTTAGTTATAAAACAAGTATAGTACCTCTCTGCAATAGCAAAAATATTGCAACAGTATTTCATCTTCGCAATTCCAGGTTCTATTGATGGTTGTCAGCTTAAAGGGCCAGTAACAGGCCACAACTTTTTTTAAATTTTATACTTCACAAGCAATCTAGCTAATTCATATCAAAGGCTGTGACGATCACATTTTGAGAAAACTGAAGCGCTGTGCACCGCTATATTTCGCAAAACAATTCTCGTGCCCCTCTCCAGCACCCCACCTCTCCAGCACCTCTTATGCAAAGTAATTTATTATTGCCCATGGGCAACATTATGAAGCACAGACTTTGTTGACTAGTCCTTTGCACTACAAAATGGTGCCATGCCATATGGAGATGCAGTTTTGGCCATTTCGCATGCGCAGTTAACATTTCCATTTTCCCATGCTACTCTCTGCTGTTTTGGTAGACCCCTATCCTATCAAAACAAGCAGTATTGCCAGAACAAAAGCCTCCGAGATAAAAAATGATTCACATGCCCTGCTTACTTGTTTGCCATGTCCAAAACTGGTTAAAGGCTGTTGAAAATGGGTGGCTGCCTAGGTTGCTGATGCAAGTGTAGTGACCAGTGGTACACCAAGAAGTGTACAGCTTAGAATATCCAGGTAATGATCTTGCATCCCTCAAGTTTTACACAATTGGTGGAAAAGTTCAAAGAGAATTTTTTTTTTTCACAAACATGTTTAGACAGTAATCCGATTCTCTAACCTGACAGTTATTGCCTTTAGTTCCCCTTTCATTCCAAAAGGAGAGATGATAAAAAACATGTACTTACGTGACAACACCTTCAGAGTCCGGAGGCACTACTAGTGCCACATGAATGTGCTGTTCTGGGGACTGATCATTAAGGATGGCCATGTTGCGTTGAATCTCCAGTTCACTTCGTGGAGCATTGATTGCTGCACAGCCCAGGTAGGCCACATTCTCAAAGGCCTGCTCACCAGCTGCCACCTCAGAACCTAGCAGAATACCAATCACATTTGCTTCATGTTGAAACTTCCTGTCTACACGATGCAATAAAATGTACAAGCTGAAGGTTCTTGTTGAGCAGCAAACCATAAAAACTGCAATCAGTACAAAAAGAGGGCATCCGAGAATGCTTTAAATACAATGATTTCAAATGCCAATAAACAGCTTACGACAGTGGTGACTACTACTGCATTGGTAGGTAAGTTTATCCCCTGAATAAACATACTGGAATACTGCATCCTTATCACATGGTTCGTACAGGTTTCAACAGCCCAAACTTGAAGGTTTTTAATGAATTTCAAGTCCCCATCGAAGATTTCACAAGGACGTGATGCAGCACCCCAAGTAGAAATGTTTTGCTATGACCATGTTTCTAAACAATATCAGCAGCGTTACAGATTTATAAAACACAACATCGATTAGACATGTACAGTTTTAATCACGTTAGATTCCTAACAAGCATAAAATTTCACAGCAGCTGCTGGAAACTCTTCAGTATTAGCCAATTTTTTCACCTTGGAAGACGATACACGATACCCAGGGTTACAAACAATTATAGAAAAAACAAGACATCTTCTTTCTGTCCCTTTATTTTTTATTTTTTTTGTAAGCTTGCACCATGCAACATCTCTTAAGTATTAACACACAGAGTGGCCCTCCACAAGGTATCGTTGATTTCTTTTAGTTCTTCCATTTTAATTGTATTTATTCTTTGGGAAACTGTTCAGTTTCAGTGTCGATTGATATGTGGGGTTTAACGTCCCAAAACCACCATGTGATTATGAGAGACGCCGTAGTTGAGGGCTCCGGAAATTTTGACCACCTGGGGTTTTTTATGTGCACCCAAATCTGAGCACACGGGCTTACAGCATTTTTGCCTCCATCGAAAATACAGCCGCCGCAGCCGGGATTCGATCTCGCGGTTTCACTATCAAGGTGATGTACAAATAAGGCTTAACTTTTTTAGAGTAGTGATCTGCTGAAGCCACAAAAGGTTAACGACTGCTTCAGAACTTTTTCCTTGTGCTCCCAATTTGATATTTGAATGCATTTTCGACTGCCAAAAGTCATAAAGCTTCTCCCATTTTTGAGCTTTAATATAAACTGAATAATGAAATGGACTTATACCAGCACGCCATGCTAATAGGCAAATACTACTGTGCATAAAGTCAATGTCTCTGTATCTAAAGAAAGAACAACAAACACTGTGTGAGGGGAGCCAATCACTGAATGTCATCAGCACAGTCAGCAGCATTATTTAGAACTTTTTTCTTTTGTATTTCGCTCACACACGTCACTTTTTTAAACGCTTCAGCTGCACATGAACAGTGAATATTGTTTGAGCTAGAAGGTGTGTCGTTTAGTGTTGCATGCTTCTTGTATGACCGTTAGGTATAGATGATAAGAAAAATAGCATAAGATTTAAATAATAATAATAATAATAATAATAATAATAATAATAATAATAATAACAATAATAACAATAATAATAATAATAATAATACCCTAACTTAATGTCCCAAAACAATACAATCATTAGAAATACTGCACCAGAAGGCTCCGGAAATTTGAACCTTCTTCAACATACACTGACATCGCACAGTACATGGGCCTTTAGCATTTCAACTCCATCAATATATAAGTACTGGAGGTGGAGCCAAGTCCCCAGGAGGGAAGTCAAGAGAAAGTGTGAGGACTGACAAGCGGGGAAATCAAATGAATGGTAGGACAAGGATAAACGCGGGTGGGGAGCCATCACTGAGTATGGAATGTGCCCTTGGTGCTGGCCTGATAAACGTTTACCTACTTAGCAACTCTGATAGTCGATATTAGACACCATAAGCTAAGAAATTCAACCATTCTTAAGGGAAGAAAACAATTCCAGGACTTTCAAGGACCTTAAAAGTGTACGTACATTTCAAAGGTTTCAAGCACACATACACATCCTGTCATCAGTTAAGTACCACAATGATGAAAACCCCAGGCAATTAATTATTTTTGCCATCCTGGTAATGGCCCATAGAATTCAATGCATTTTGTACCTCTCGACAATAAATGTCACTGCAATGCAGTCCCACATTAACAAAGTTTGTCGAAACGTTATCCATACTATCTATCTGGCAACACTAAGAGTTAAAAAAAATGCTGAAATGCATTGTTTGCCCAGCTTAAAGTGCATAAAATACCGTCAAAGTGCACTTATATCAGTTCTGCCATTTTACATACAAAAACAGAAAAGATTCCAATGCAATTACTAGAAAGACATCATGGCCTCCACTTTTCTTCTCAAATGCTTGCATCAAATGGAACAGTCACTTTGCCATAAATAAGAACTGATCAGTCTTGCAAGCAAACTCTCCCCAAAGTCTTTCCCTTTCCTTTATCCCTCATAGTGATTGTCCAATACATGATCTATGAGGCAGTGCATTGGCTGAGAACATCATAGGGCCATCCCGTCACAACTCTGCCTGCACGTGCACTCACATGACCATCACATGTTGAGTTCATACTTTCTGGCTTTAATCATTCTACCCAATGCTCTCTCCCGATTTTTTCTTCCTCCTTGGTGCATTTGCCATGGAGGAAGAGAGCTTTTGCAAGTATAAAGGTGAGCTTTTGCAAGTATAAAGGTGAGCTTGCTAAGTAGGTAAGCTGCAGGACCCTGGTTCAAATTCCACCCCCTGACACATATTCCTAATTTAGTCGGGAAGCCCCAGGCAAGACATAACATATCACAGGCACGAAATCGCTTTTTAAGATGTTTTATATTCAGAATTACGATACCATCAATGGTGTAGCACCACAACGTACAGGCAAGAAAGCTAATCCAGTGGGGGAATAAACAAAGAAAGTTAAGATTCTGGGTTTTTTTCGTGACAAAGCTGTGGTATCATTTTGAGACACACTATAGTGGGGGACTTGGGATAATTTAGGCCCCCATGTGGGTTCTTAAATATAGACCTAAATTATTCATAACGTAGTCACTAAGGCTTAGAATGAAACTTGTGTCTTCAAGCTTAGCAGCACATCTAAGCCACAAAGCAACCATGATGGCCCCACTGCAAAGCAAATTATTGTTTGAATGAGTGAAGCTAAAGAATAAAGGATACATTAAACTCTGTAAGCAAACAATTTATATAAATACAGTGCATATTAAACAATTTAAATGAGTACAAGTACAAACTTTAAAGTAAGAACCTTTGCTTGAATGACAGTGCGGAACACAGCTGATATATTATCTACCATGACCACTGGATGGAAACACATATGATACAGCCTTCTACATGCTACTAAAACAATTTAAAATGGCTCGTTCCCAGAGCCACCACAACGGCGCCACCAGAGGGGGATGAGAGTTCCTGCGGGATTAGATGTGTGGTGTGCTGTGGCAATTATGCTTGAGTGTGTGCGTATCCGTAATGTGTGAAATATTTCCAAATCCACCTAACGCACATATCTGCTCACTGCTGCCCTTGCTTGAAGATAGCTACCAGGGAATTTACAGACTTGCCCTGCCTAAGATGCAACATCTGACACAGAGTTTTTCACGAAAGATGCAATCACAAGAATGTTTTGATGGTAAACTTGACGACCACAGGTAACGAATCTGGAAGGGTTCCACCTAGCCTAATATGTAAAAAATTTTAATTTGGCTCTCAGCTTGTCCCTTCAGGTTTAATCATTACATTCAGATAAAAACAACCATGAAGACTGCAACTGCCACTCTTTACCAAGCAAAGAAACTAAAATTGATTTATTCCTCCAAACACGCTTATATGTAACACACATACAACAAAATATCACATACCACAGTCACAAAATGATGCTTAGCGCAAGTGCGCGACTATGTAATAAAAGCAGAATCGAGCCACTTGAAAGAAGTTTCTCTCCGCCCAGCAAGTTCCATTTTATGCCCGATTTTAACAGTGGGCATGAAATTGGGGCAAAAGACGAAGTCAAATTATTCAATACAAGGCCAGCGCACTTTCCTGCCATCACTTGCTCCTTGTTGTTGTTTTTTTGTGCTGCACATACCTTTACATCAAGTTCTACAATGCTGCCTTTCGAAATCGAAGACATCATTCAGCAGGAGGTGGCACGCCAACTGTCTATGCTCCCTCTCACCGATGAGGCCATATAGCAACTGCCGCCTGAGCGTATTTTCTTTCTTCTCTTCAGTACATTATTATTGTTATTATTATTATTATTATTATTATTATTATTATTATTATTATTATTATTATTTAGTTTCTTAATATTTGATTTCCTGCGATTCATAGTTTGCGGTGTGGAATATATATAGCGGTGGGTTACACATGAGAAAATACGGTATCAAAGTAAACTGCACTTCTACTCTTCACACACAGCTGTGCATATTCGTGGAGTGGTAGAAGCCTCTAATTTGTCTTGGCCTTAGGGTCAGTCGTTTTCTTCAATATCATGCTCAGCGTGCTTCTTGGGATGTTGTAAGTAATGGCGATGTCAGAATTCTTTTCTCCATGTTGGACTTTCTAGATTATTGCCAGCTTTATGGAGAACAGCAGGTTCTTCCTTTTATATTAGCACAGCGGCTATTTTAAGAACAAAGGGATAATCATGACGAAACAACAAACTGCAACTGCACATGACGGGCACGATGACAAGGAATCACGAAAGAAAGCACGTGATGACAGGCAGCCGCTTCTACTACATGCAGTGCTCTTTTGATCACACCACTCACACTCACAAATACATGTGGAAAAAACTTCCTCCGTTAGAAAAATTCAATTTTGTTATGGGAAAGCCAACTTTTTGGGGAGTTTTGCATAGCTTGATGTTTGATGTGTGAAGTGTTCAGACTATCCTTGTACGATGCAGCTATAGATTTTCCTATGCATTTACATTAAATGATCCTTGCGTTCAAAAACAGTTCAATATGAAGGATATTCGATTTACCCCAATTCGGCATTAGGCTAATTTGATGACTGTTGGGGAATGTCGTGTGACAGCAACTAAATTGCTGCAGTAGCTGCTGCAATGGTTTTACCAGTGCCTTTTTCTCCAGACCACTTGTCCCCAGTCCATCGCACCCAGACGGCTACAATTGTAGCTAAGGCATTCACACCCTATCCCATAGAAAGCTGCCCGACTTGGCTGGCCAAACCATGTGTGTTTACATCCTGAGCCAGGCCCAGACAAGGCCCAGACAAAGTTTTGTCCAGATTCTTTTGCTGCACCCTCCTCCTTTACTTTCCTTTAGTTCTCTTTGCTATCACGGTCTTTCATCCTCCCCAACACAGTGTTTCCTTGGTAGCTATTCTTCTCAGTTTTCCTCCAATCGTTTTTTTTCACTATCTCACTATCACTGCTATTCAGTATCCAGTGCACTCTGCATCTGCTTTCTTTCATTGTACCTACTGTCTATGGTTGAATAGTTTCACCACCAAGAACAACATAAAACCTACAAGCAGATGCTTGAAAACTGCCTTAAATAGCATTCCACAATGAGCTTCATCTCTTCAGGGTATGAATTGCTGCGCTGACATACAGATACCACAAAGCAAAATTAGCCTTTATGAGTAATTAATGTCACGATGAATATATTTGGAACATCATTCTTGTATAAAGATCAAGCTTGCAGTTGTAAGAGTGTGCTGGGTTGTCTTAGGAAAGGATTACCCATGTTAATTTATGATTTCTCTGTTGCTCCTGGTTGCTTGGCAAGTACATGATAGAGGGTGTAGGACATTTAGAGTTTCAGAGAAACCATTATATTTCAACGAATAACTTCATGGGATGTCATAAACTCACATCTTCCTTCAACTTTGTTTGCTTCAGGGTGACAATCACATATACACCAAGTATACAAAAAAGGGAGACCGGCACTGACTTCTTGAAAACCCCTGTTTTGCGGGATCTTCTCCACACAATCTGACCCCAACCCTCAAACATCATGATAGAGAAACAAAAGTAGGACTTAGATATGTCAATGACTGTTTTGTTGCAGCTCTCCAAAAATAATCCCGTGAAAACTGCTGCCAACACTATTTTAAAGAAGCTTCACACAATCTGTATTACCCTAGAAGAGCCCAACAAAGGAAGTTTGCTATTGCTAGATTTTAAGTTCAAAACAGAGATCACTAGCGGTGCATTTTGCAGACACAATAAAAAAATATTAATTATGTCATTTTAAAGCCAATTTCACACCTCAACGATGATGTGAAGCTATGAACAACAGGTTTTACCCTCTTGTGATTGCCACAGTGCTAGTACAACACATCCAGCAAAGAACATTAAAAATGCCATACCACAGTCTAGTGACGATGACCTTGGCTTTGGGTCTGGCATAACTTCTTCAGGAGAATTCTCCAATGACTTCATTTCACCGTCTCTGCCTTTTTCGTCCCCACTATGAATTGAATCCTGTAGGGAAACAAAGCACACAATGAAGTATATGGTATCATCACATCTATGCATTAGATCACATCTGTGAAAAAACGCCTAAGCTTCGCCTTTAAGAGTTGGACGCGGTAGTGATATTCTGTTCTTAGTGCATACTTCAAAGACTTATTGTATCAAGTCTTTTCGAACTTGCTATATGCACCCACTACTTGGCCTTGATGATGCAGTAGCGTGTGTGCTTTTTGTAGTGGGTGACTGTCTTTAAATTATGAAGTCATTATGATAATCTTATGTTCTGAAGCCCCATGACAATGTACACTTGTACCACGCATTATTACCGCACCATTTCATGTTGTAATATGAAGCATGTACACAGAATACAAGTTTTTGTACAGCATGAAAGTAACTTTCACTGCATTTCCAAGCAGAGGCAGTTATTTTCACTGTATTCACAAGCAGAGGCATGTCTGTGTAACATAGCACCCGCTTGCCATGCAAAGTACCCGGGTTCGATCCCCCACTCAGACCCAAACGATCCGGGTTTGATCCAGACTGGCACCCAAAATTTTTTTTATTTGCATCTTTCTCGATTTTTCGGTCACGCATACATGATGATGTTTTGCTCACAACCAATGACGCTGACGCTGGAATTTCTGTGAAACGAGCTCTTTAATGCTATGGCATTAATATTGACACCAGCAAAAAGTGATGTCCAGAGAAAACATGGAAAAAAGAATTGCAATATGCAAAGTTGAGAACAACATAGGTGGTTCAAGCTTTTCGAGCCACATGCTTATTTTTACAACGCAATAATTGGAATGGCAATTTCCTAGGATTTTTGGCACAATTGGCATATGTCAACACAGCTGCTTAGATGCAACATAAGTTGAAATCGGTAAGAATGCCATCACTATGTCAAACACATGCTCAAAACCAGCTACATCTCCAAAGGGTTAGGATCTGGACATTTGGATCAGCGACTCAGCTGTTCGGTTGCTGTAGTATGCCTCGATAGGGATGAAGCCATTTGGCTAGTCAACTTTTGATCCATTGTACCAGTTCAATCACATGCAATAACTGCAAGAGAGAGCATAAACGGTACAACTAAAGCCAAAAAGAATGTCATCCCAAAATGAGATATCCATATCTGAGTGAACATTAGGCTTTTGGGCTACCATTCTGCAGCCAAAGCTCCAGAAGAAGGAAGGACTCTCCAACCAAGTTTAGTTTTTCACTTTTTAACTACAAAGCCTTACGTTTTGATGCCCATTCAGCCTACTCTTCAGGAATTGACTGTTCAGCCGGCTCTCGAGCTGGTAATTTTTACAGCGAAAGATGTTATGAGATCACAACAAGAGTCAAATGCATTGTAATAGTCCATAACCACTATCGAGCAAAAAAAAAAAAAGCTAAGGATACAATAGGATTCGAACTCAGGTTCCCTGTGTGCCAGCCCAGTATTCTACCACAGAGCCACGCTGGTGCTTGCAACTCCATTGCAAACTGGACTTAGCCAGACTTCACGTCGGGAAAGGAATCGTGTAAATGTGAGTAATGAAGCATTAAGAACTAACCAGGAGCCACACAATGCGAATTTCGTAACGAATGGGTCGTCGAATGCTCCAACCCATTAGAAAATCTTCAGGCATAATTTCAGATTCTTTATTTCAGCATTCATATTTCTTAATCATCGTCAGTCACAACATCAAAAACATTGCACAAAATTTCTTTCAACTGTGCAGCGGGTACCATGCTTCTCCAAAGAATAACGAAGGATGGTATACTGAATGCCTCCCAACTACACAAAAATAATGATGAATAATGGCATAGTGGGTAACGTGCAAGTGTTCTTGTAGCAGTTACCCAAAGAGTGTGCAAAAAGGTTCTGAAAGGCTGCTCTTCCAGCTTTCGCTGTGACGGTGCTGTGCGTTTTGCACAGGCCTGGCGATTATTTAGCAGTTGTGTCCCTTTCCATCACTCTTGTCAATACGTTTCCTTCTCAATTTATTTTGAAGGTCATATGCATGCATGTTCAGTAGTGCACTCATTGGTTGGTTGATGTTTCCCAGTGTCATTTGTATATACCATGATACCAAGTATCGTCTTTTTGTGTGGCTACACCTTTTGCATCATTGACCTCGGTGCTCTCAGAAGTTGATGCAATGGTTCAGCTTTTCAGTGTGTTTTGCACGAGTGTGTCTTTCTGCATTGAAACTATGTACGTCGTCGTTGTGCTGATGAATCCTTTTCTGGGAAGTTTTTAGTCTCACCGATGTGAGTGACGTGGCAATCAGAACAGGGAACTTCTAAACTACCAGCAATTGTTCTTTTGGTGGCCTGTCTTTTGTTCCCAGAAAGAGCTGTTCCGAGTGTTGGGGTGCGGTGTCAATTTCCTTTTCTATAAGAGCCCTGCAACACTTTTCTAAGAAATTGCCGAATGGCTTCATCAAAGAGCTTATTGCATCCAAAATCAGCTGCCTCAAAAATTTTTAGAGTTAGCCAAGTAAGGGCAGAGTTATACCTCGATCACACTAGCAAATTTAGGGTCACTTTGAGCAAGTGCACTTCTGCCTCCAAAGTGTCACTTTGGTGGCATGCTGCTATACGAGAAAGAGAAAAGTACTTTGGTGATGGTCGTGATAGCAATGGGTACATGAGTAGCATAACAGATACTCGTTATTTCAGGCATATCTTAACTAATAATGTATTACAGCTGTAAGCAGCCCTTAAAAAAAAAACTTTACATAAAAACGTGGCTGTGGCCATTGCGCGGCTTGCGCTGGGCAAGCCCCTGGCAGTCAAGGCAGTAAAATGGCGGAGAGTGAGAATAGCAGTGTAGTTTTTTGTAGTTTAGCATGTATTAATGAATCAAGATATTCCTACTAAAAAAATGACAGTTGAAAAAATGCTATCAACTTGGCTTTGGAATAATAACTTATTCGCAATCCACTGCTACCGAGGCTTCACACTCTATCGCAGTGAAGCGAGTTCAACGATTGCACTTGTTGGCAAGTGCGCTTTCCAGCGAGTGATACTAAGCATTGCCTTATGACAGCGTCCTAATGACATTTGCAGTGAGGTGCTCTCCCTCAAAGGGCATTTAGGTTGCCCAGTGAGGGTATAACAGGAATTTGTCGCACACTTGAAGCACTTTTTCCCTCTCTTCGTGCTAGTAAGCGTGCTGAAAGCTACACAGGGAAGGGAATGACAAGGAGGCAAGAAGACTCGTCCTTTTGCCAGGACATGACCTTGAGCAGTTTTTTTTTATTGTTGTTTTTTTCCCGAGCACACGGCTTACTTTTCGCGTGATCACAAGAGAGCATGCGGGCACGTGGCAGAATCCTGTGGCAACCACGATAATTGCACAGCTCATAATGCTCAAGTCAGCCAATGGCCATGGACTTATATGGCACAAGTATATGGCACAAGTATATGGCACAAGTAATTAGGGTATATGGCATTATGTGTAGAGAGATTAGAGAGCGATTTCTAGTTCCACGCCACATGCTCCCCCTTAATGTTTGGCTCGCAAGTTCTTGTCAGCCTCGATCGATTGCCAGTGATTTCTGACCATGTTCTCACCATCAAAAAGTGCAAAGGACCCCTACAACCTTTTTGCTATGCAGGATTCCCCTGAACTGATTTGCAATAATGCTTCTCTATTTGTTTATTTTTTCCAATATGTGGGTAAGCCCTGGCTGCTCCCTTGCAGCCTGATGTCTGGCTGATCAAAAAATCAAACCTCTGTCATATAAACACAGCAGCTTGATGAGTTGATCATTAGAACACTACCACACACGTTCACATGTACATGTATGCTTATTACGTGCCAGTCAGCTATGGCTTTGGCATGCATTTGGAATGACCCCACTCTCTAGGAGTGATGCCACTTATTACTACATCATAGCACTTAATTATGAGAGCCAACAATCAGAAATGTGGGATCTACATCGTTGTACTTGGCCTACAATACTTGGCCCGCAGAAAGATGATAGATGGAGAAAGCTGACCTGTGCAAGTGCAGGCAGGACTCTGGCAACTGATTGAAAGTACAACGGGTCACAATGGCAGAAAGCCAAGTTGAGACAGGAGAAAAGGCATCAGAGCAGGTGGCCTCGCAGTGTTCATGTGGAGCGCTGCCTGCTGGGTGTCGGCAGCCATGTGGACACTCCCATGTGTGCATTCTTTGAGAGGCCATAAGCTGAAAGCCAGCTTGCCTGCTTGAACCACTAAAGGGCTGGCAGCATTTAAAGGTGCATCACTCTGTGCCAACATGGCACCTAAACGAAACATTACAGGAAGTGGAAAAAAATAATTGTTGCATGGAGTAACAACTTCAATATGTTCCAAATTGAAGCTTTGAGGCCTCTACATTAAAACAGGGTGTGCTTGCATCTGCAAACATTTGCATTTTTTAGCAACTTTTAATGATCAGAAAATTAGTGAGCAAGTTAAAGTAAATGGCGCCTTTCATTGGAGTGCACACTCTCACAGTTACAACAAGTTATAATTACTCAATAGCTTGAGCATGAATGTAGAGAATACTGTTACGAAAATTTTAAAAATATTTTTTTTTGCATCTACATAATGGTTTTAGTAATGTTGTTTCATATATTATTTTGAGCAATATATTGTTACAGGGATGACAAACACATGGAAGAGAGAAACGAATGTATTTCCAATATTTACAGATAGGTGTGACACCCCAGGGTTGCCCGACTCTCGCGTGGCAATTCCACTTCTTTTTCATCGATTCGTCTACGACGGCGGAGCCATGCCCACTGCCTCGTAACATCAAACCTGGCGGACGAAGCGCCGTCACGGCGCCGCTAAGCCAATCAGGACTGGCATTAGTGTTTTAGTCGCGACACATGAACAACATCAGTAGGTGGTGTGGCAGAAGATGAGTGTGGTTGAACAGGAGTGATGAGGTAGTCGACGTCGGTGACCTTACAGAGAACTTTGTAGGGCCCTGTGTATCGTGGGAAGAGCTTCTTGCAAAAGTCTTCACGTCGCTACGA